AAAAATTATTGGGAAATATGACATGGCACCAAATTAATACACATAGGATTTTTATTAATATAAAGGGGAAGATGTCCCTTTAAAATAGATTTGGCAATAAACATTCTAACCAAGCGATCAAGCTAGCACCAATAATAGTGGCTAAGCTTAACATTTTGTATCTTTAAATGTTATGAAATATGAATTTCACAGTATGAAGTATTTTTGCCAGAACTGTTTAATTTGTATTTAGACTTAGCTTTTGGTTCACTGGAAGTACAAGTGATGGAGAAACAGTTTAATGATACTATGAAAATAAGACAAATGCAAAATGTGGGACCTTTTGTAAGACAACTTGTCTGGACTCTTCAAAAAGTCTATGTCTTAAAAGGCAGTGGGATTTCTCAAAAGATACTGCAAAAATAAAGCCACCAAATGCAATGGATAAAATTTAATTGGATCCCACTTGGGGAGGACATAGCATAAGGAGACATAGGGTGGGCAACTGAGGAAATTTTAATATGAAATAGATATTAGATAACATAGAATTGTTAATTTTCTTAGGTGTGATAATTGTATGTAGGAAAATATCTTTATTCCTCGGAGATGCCTATTGAGCTATTTAGGAGTGAAGTGTTGTGATATCTGTAACTTGCTTCCAAATACTTAAGCAAAATACATCTTATAAATAGTTGGCATATAAAAGCACATATATAGGGGTGCCTGGGTGGTACAGTCAGTAAAGTGTCCAGCTCTTGATTTCAGCTCAGGTCATAATCTCAGGGTCATGAGATCGAGCCCAGAGTTGGGTTCTGCTCATTGCAGAGTCTGCTTAAGGTTCTCTCTCCCTCTCCCTCTGCTGCTCCCTCCTACCTCTTGTGCTCGCACATGCTTTCTCTCTCTTTAAAATAAATCTTTTAGTTCCATCCAAATTGTCGCAAATGGCAAGATTTCATTTCTTTTGATGGCTGCATAGTATTCCATTGTGTATATATACCACATCTTCTTTATCCATTCGTCTGTTGATGGACATCTAGGTTCTTTCCATAGTTTGGCTATTGTAGACATTGCTGCTATAAACATTCGGGTGCACGTGCCCCTTCGGATCACTACATTTGTATCTTTAGGGTATCATGCTTAGCGAAATAAGTCAATTGGAGAAAGACTACTATCATATGATCTCCCTGATATGAGGAAGTGGAGATGAAACTTGGGGGGTTAAGGGGGTAGGAGAAGAATAAATGAAACAAGATGGGATTGGGAGGGAGACAAAGGATGAGTGACTCTTAATGTCACAAAACAAACTGAGGGTTGCTGGGGGGAGGGGGGTCAGTAGAGGGGGTGGGGTTATGGACATTGGGGACCGTATGTGCTATGGTGAGTGCTGTGAAGTGTGTAAACCTGGCAATTCACAGACCTGTACCCCTGGGGATAAAAATATGTTTATAAAAAATAAAAAATAAAAAAAAATAAGTATCTTAAAAAACCACACATATATATGACAGTATGTTCCAGTTGTTGGGTAGGTGGAATGTTCATTGTACTATCTTCTCAATTTTTGGTTAGAAATTCTTAAAAATAAACTGGAAAAAGAACAAGCTCAGCATGATGAAAACAAAATCTAAGCCTCAGGAGTGGCAGGCAGGCTGTCCGTCCCAGGTTGGCCAGTGCTTCTGCAGTGGTATTGGGGCTCGCTTCCTCCAGCCCTCAGCTTCGTTCCTGTGTGTGCACAGAGATGAGCACCTGTGAACATCAAGTGGAATGTGATCCTAGTCATATTAGCCAAACTGGATAACTGTGAAAATCTCCAAATAAGATTAGACAAGCTTGAGGCAGAACCACTCGTGTTACTCATTTTTAACATTTCCAGTGTCTGGAATGTTGTAGGCATTCAAATCTGTTGCCTGAGGAAATACCTACGGGGAACACCAAATTTGAGGATTGCTTCAAAAAAGTGAGAGGATACAAGTGACTTTTTCCAAATCCAGTAAATATTTGTGGAATTTAATAGAACTGAACTAGTTAAGGGGCAAATAAAGTTAAGGTTGGTTCTAGAAGTAAGAAGACCTGTTTTTTTTTTTTTTTCCCCCCCCGATGTGGGGCTAGATCCCAGGACCCTGAGATCATGACCTGAGCCAAAGGCAGAGGCTTAACCCAGTGAGCCACCCAGGCACCCCAGGAAGACCTGTTTTTAAATGTGTATCCAGTAATGACTGCATTTCAGTTTTTTCTTTTTCTTTTTTTTTTTTTTAACTTTTCAGAAATAATCCTTGCTTTTTTGAGTTAAGAAAGCACTTGGGTGGAAGTCTACTGTAGTTTTTCCTACACAGGATGAAATCTGGTTTTGGTGAGCAATCTTCAGAGGGTGGCATGCGTAATTGTATTTCTCCTTGGTGAGCTATGAGTTGGGCACTTAATTATGTAAAAAATATTGCAAGAGAGCAGTTGCATAATCCTCAAGGGAGTAATTATTGTCTATCTTGGCAGAATGCAAGGCTTTTAATCTGTAAATAAGCAGTCCTATGTGGAAGAGCTACATGTAGAGTGATTCTGCGTTGTACAGGTCTCTTATGAATTTTTTAGAGTGCAAGTAGTGACTCCATGTGCTGAATGGCTTCTGTCTTTGTGCTTCAAAGGGTTCATGATGCTTCCCCTGTGGTTTTAACCTCTCCTGAAATATTTAAGCCTTAGAGAAGGATTCCTGTAAAGGGTCAAACTGCATCTAAGTTAAGCCTGTGAAAAATCTGAATGTTTCAAATACAGAGGAAGTAAAATGCGCTTTCTGTAAATTAAAAAACCAATATGAAAAACAAAACAACAAAATAAAACATTGACGGTGCTTAAAAAAAGAAGGCTCAGATTAGCTGATGGGTTTCTCACTTATTGGAGGATAATGGTCTTATGCATGCCACTGCAGCTCAGGTCTCCAAAAAGCAGTGATTCACTTTCAGGGTATGTGTGTATTTTGCTTAGGTAAGTCTGAGTCTTTGTGATACTGAAAGTAAATTTTGTTTTTAAAAACTGTCCATAGATCTGCTTTCCCTTTTGTTGTAGTGTTGATGAACTGAGCCTTCTCTCTCCAAGTCATACTTCTCCACGGGAGCAGTGTTTGCCTACTCAAGGACCTCATTCTGGCGACTCGCCTTCTCTCTTGCATGACCAACTTTCCCCTCTTTACTGACTTATTCTCATCAAAATAAAAACATGTCGTAACAGCTTCCATTGTTTTTAAAAAGGCCTTCCTTGACTTCTCTTTCTCTCTGACACCTACTCAATCCTCTGTTCCCCTTTGCAGCAAACTCCTTAAGGGTCTATATTCTATAATCCCTTTTCACTTCCTCTGTTCCCATCATCTCTGGAACCTGCTCCATGCACCCCATTCCACACAGAACTTGTTTTTATCAAGGTATACCTGTAACCTTCACACTGCCAGAGTCCATGGACAGCGCTTGGTCAAATCTTACTTATCGTTAGCTAAAAGAGTTTATCATGCCTTTTTTCTAGAAACACTTTCTTTACTTAAGGGAAAACCTGTGCTTCTGGTTATTACCCTTCCTCACCAGTCACTCCTGATCAGCCTCTTGGTGGGCTCTTTTCCTGATCTCCTAAGATGACTCAGTTCCAGGTCCTCTCCTCTGTTTTCTCATAAAGTCCTCTAAGGTAATATCATGGATAAAAATGTTCTGTTGGGGCTCCTGGGTGGCTCAGTGGGTTAAGCCCCTGCCTTCAGCTCAGGTCATGATCCCAAGGTCCTGGGTTGGAGCCCTGCATCTGGCTCTCTGCTCAGTGGGGAGCCTGCTTTCCCTTCTCCCTCTGTCTGCCTCTCTGCCTACTTGTGATCTCTGTCAAATAAATAAATAAAATCTTAAAAAAAAAAGTTCTGTATACTCTAAAAACTCCAAATTTTTGTCTGTACTATATGCCTGTACCCCAGACTGCAGATTTGTATATCCAGTTGCCTGCCCCACATCCCACTGGATGACTAGAGGTATCTCAAATTTAACATAGTCAAAATGTAACATGTGGTTTTTGCATGGTTATGTCTTACCCTCCTATCTGCTTTTCCTATCTCCATGTTTGTTCCTCCTCCTTTCCATCTATGTTAAAAACAGCAGCCTGAAAGACCCCTGTAAAAATCAGGTCACATCCCTCCTCTGCCCCAAAGCCTTCAGTGACTCTTATCTTGGTCAGAGTAAAAGCTGGTGCAACAAGGTCCTTCATCATCTGACCCCATACCTTTTTAGCTCACCTCCTACCTTTCTCCCTGTCACTCACTCTGCTCCAGCTGCATTGGCCCCTTTCTTTCCTTTCCTTTTTTTTTTAAATATTTTATTTATTTATTTGACAGAGACCCAGCAGGAGAGGGAACACAAGCAGGGGAGTGGGAGAAAAAGAAGCAGGCTTCCTGCCAAGCAGGGAGCTCCATGTGGGGCTCAATCCCAAGACCCTGGGATCACGACCTGAGCCACCCAGGTGCCCACATTGGCCCCTTTCTTAAACACACCTTATTCTGTCTCAGGGCTTTGCCGTGGGATGCTACTTTAAGTTGGAATGCTGTGACCTGCATTTCTGCCTGGCTTGTTCCTTCACCCCCTTCAAATCTCTGCTTATCTGCTCTCTTCTCGCTGACACCTTCTCTAATCATTCATTTAAGTGCCTCCCCACCCCCTCCCACCAGTGCTCCTGATCCCTCCACCTGGCTTTTTTCCCTATTGCACTTACCACCACATGAAAATATTTACGTTTTTGGTTTTTGTTGCTGAGTTTTTTCTTGTGTGTCTTCTTTTATTAGAATATAAGTTTCATGAGGGCAGAAACTTTATGTAACTTCTTCATAGATGTATCACCTGTGCCCAAGCAGGTACTCAGTAAACACTGCTGAAGGATTAATTGCAAAGCAGTCTCAAAAGTTGATTCTTTTTTTCCCTTGTCATTTTTTTAAATAGCATTCTGGGTGGACAGAGGATATAGAGCATTCAGAGTGATTCACTATATACTAATAGCTATTTCCCATTCCTCAGTTTCTCTGTTTGAAGAACATAAGGACATTCCTCACGGCCTGTTGCGAGACCTTTGGAATGAGAAAGAGTGAACTCTTTGAAGCATTTGACCTGTTTGATGTTCGTGACTTTGGAAAGGTAATCACATTTCATTTTCTTTTTATTTTTCCACATTTCGTTTTCTATGTGTGTTCTTTTAATGGAGAACATTTTATCAAATACTTAACCATTTTTTGCTGAAGGACTTGTGACAGAAGTGGTCTAGGTAGTTGCATTATGTAATTAAATTTCACACATAGGTGACTTAGCAAAACAAATAACATTGTCCAAATGGGGCTAGAATTATTATTTTTAAAGATTTATTTATTTGAGAGTGGAAACAAGAAGGAGAGAATCTTAAGACTTCCCGCTGGTGCAGAGTCCAACTCAGGGCTTGATCTTACCACCCAAACCAAGAGTCGGATGCTTAACCGACTGAGCCATCCCCGTGTCCCAGGACTAGAATTATTTTATTTAAAGCAGTACAAAGAGAGTCCTTTACCCCAGAAGTAGCTTTTTCAATGAGCTACCTCAAAGGGTAGGACTACTGTTTTCCACCTTACAAATTCCCCTCCTGTCTTTTCTATATCTAAAAGGCATCTAATTTTTGGAAGTTGAGAATGATCTGCTGCCCCTCTCTCTATTTAGACACTCGGATAGGTGATGGGGAAGACATGAATCCAAAATGTTTGAGATTTTTGAGTAATTCCTATTGGTTGCATTTCAGCACATATATGTTAGCTTGTTGAACTTCGATGATATTTGCCACATGTAAATTGTTCTAGGATTTGCTGTTATTATTTATATATACACCAAATATTTGTGTGTAATAGGTGACAGAAATTATTCTCTTAAATGCTGTGGTCGTTTATTTTTAAGTTATTGGGCAGAAATAAACTTTTTGCATGTAAGAAGTCATAAAAAAAGTAATTAAGGTGACCTTATTTTGGTTCCTGATGTCATAATTGCATTATGAAAATAAGAACATAAGAATTAGGAAAAACAAAATAAAACTAAATGACACTGAGAAGTTTGCCCTTGCTCTTGTAATTCCAATGCTAGTATCTCATCAAAAGGCTGTTTGAGAGTGATGCTTCATTTGATTTCTAAGATGTAATATTTTAATTATAAGGTGAAAACCTAGCAATGGATTGGTTTGCTTAAAAATGGGAATAGATTACACAAACTTGAAACAGACACATAAGAAATTTGATGCTGAAATTTGATGCAAGTATGGATAAGCCACCCTGCCCAGGGAGAGAGGATCCTTGGTTTCTTGACCCAGAGTCCCTTTGTCATTTTCTGGAAGTCATCAGTCTTCTCATTCATCAGACTGTTAGTATGGAAGCCTGTGCAAAAGGAAATGGGTATAAGAGCATGGTTTCTAAGACTACTTTTTCCTCTGGAAAGCTGTGATTTAACAGTTTTGAGGTCCAAAAAAGTGATGGAAGATAACATGGCAACAAAAGCAACTGAAAACCAAGCCTTGTGGGGGTGGCGGTTGGGAGGTTGGTAGCACATTTGTCTGTGGCTAGAAAGTGAAGCCATGAAGATGACAGGGAATCAACTAGAATTCCAGGTAAGGTGGATTGGATAGTCTTCTAAGTTGTTAACCCTAAAAAACATCTTAACAGCTTAAAAAGATGTTCTCTTTATTCTTTGACTCCTCCCCCTATTTTAAAAAGCTCCTTAATTTTCTCTTCACTCTTTTGGGGAAATGAAAATGAAAATGAATTAGGGAAATGAAAAATGAAAAAAAGATTAGATTTTTAAAAGCTTTTCAAGGAGATCTTCATTTTTCATTCAGATTTGCAAGAAATGGTGTTGACAAAGACTGGGAAATCATCTAAATTCTTTGGAAACACAATGGCTTTGTTGTAGTGGAATACCACTGGGCACTTTACACAACGGAAGCTTTGTAGGAGTTGAGATAATAGAGTTGAATGTGAAGGAGTAAACTGTATGCTTCTCAAGGGTAAATGTGTTTCTGTCTACTTAAAATATTTTGTCAATGATAAGTCTGAAACAGAGTTAAGCTTGGGGATGTCATTGAGGATTTGATCCTGTACTCAGCACTTTAAAATCACATACATTTTTGCTACTGCCAACATTGGTGCAGTATCTCTTCCAAAATTATCTGACCTCAATAAACCACTGAAAGTTAAAGAAGCTCTTTTATACCTTACCAGTATTAGTGTCATTAAACATTATTCCTCTAAGCAAAACCATCAATCCCACCACTTACTGATAACTTTCAAGATAACTGATATCTTTTCAATCTTCATATATATATGTACACATACATGTATACATACACACACATAAATATACATACACACACACACACACACTTATATATATGACTGTTAATCCTCACAGTGGCCCTCTGAGACGTACTTTTCAAATCACACATCTAGTACAGATTGGAGCAATAGTTTGAACCCAGAACTGGCTGATTCTCCCTGGTATCACGGTGCAAGTGTTCACATGGTGGTCCAGTGCTCTGTACATATTGACCCAATCTTTATATCAACCCCATCATGTAGGTACTATTGTCATCCCTATTTACAGATCCTGGACTGTAGGTGACAGAACGTGGACAATTCATGCAGTTTTAAATTTTTACATTTAAAAAATGTGAATAGTATGTTGATGTAGACACTGAATCATTCCTCATGTTGTGACTATAAATTTTAACAGGATGTAGACGAGTTAGAGTTTTTCTCTTTATTCCTTGGGATTTAATTAAATTTGCAATTAACATAAAAAGAGGATATCTATAACTATATGCCTCTGTCTGCCTCAATTCATACAAATAACAAATCTAGAATTCATGTATATTTGGCACCTTTTTGCCTAGGAATATATTAATTGTAATAACAGTATCTAATGTTTTTATAGCAATTTGAAGCTTTGAGAGTACCTCATATCACTGACCTTGTTTGAGTTTCATGATAGTCTTGTGGAGGAAACAAGCAAGTCTTCCCCTTTGTCAGATGAAGAAACTAAGAGATGGGGAGATTTAACAATGATTTTAAGGTGTCCTTGGTTCGGATCTGGATCAGACCTTCTGACTTCCCAGTCCTTTGTCTCTCTTGTCTGCCATCTGCATTTGGGTCTCACTGCTGTGTGGATGCACAGGGAAAAGGATGAACTCATGGGAGAAAACCGAAGGAAGATATGAAATTAAGCACAAGTGATCTGTGACTTGGCATCTAATTTTTTTTTTTTTTTTAAAGAAAGAAGAAAGATTTAGGATACTGCATGAGCCTTTAATATAATGGGTTGTTGAAATTAAGAACTCTACCTGGATAAATGTTTCTCAGATTCTCATCATGCAGTCAGTCTTGAGCTAACCTTCCCCCACATCCCCATTGTGGTGTAGACTGCTCCCTAAGCTTTGCCTACATTCTCCCTAAGTTCTAGGTTCTAGAAGTCTATCCTGAATCATAGGCTTTGATATGGATAGGTTTTCTTCTGGAACTTAGGAAAATTCTGGGAAAACAGGGGAATTTATGAAATTAAAAAGTATAAGTCATTTGTCACTTGACATCTAATTATTCTATAGATATGATTTAGCATACTGCGTGTGTTAACACAAATGAATTAACGTTTATTATTTAATTTTTGAGATAGTGAAGAGCACACATTTTGTGCAGTCTAGAGAGGCTTATGATAATTTTGCCTTTCCACATTACTTTTAATTCCTAGTATTGAGCTTTTTACCCAGTGTTAGGAGAATTTCATTTCAATTCAAACTCGTGTTTCAAATAAGTTAGAATAGTTCTGAACGTTTTCTATAACTTGATTTTGTTTTTCAAATCACATAGGGGTGGAGAATGAGTTTACTAAATTAGAAGGTTAACTTTTTTTTTAAGATTTTCTTTATTAGAGCACACATGCGCATAAGCAGGGGGAGTGGTTTCCCAAGAGAAGTGGATTCGCCACTGAGCGGGGAGCCCAGTGAAGGGCCTGATCCCAGGACTCTGGGATCATGACCTGAGCCAAAGGCATATGCTTGACTGAGCGAGCCAGCCAGGCGCCCAAGTTGACTTTTTACTAAAAAAGCTTCATCTTGGGGTGCATGGGTGGCTTAGTTGGTTAAGTGTCTGACTTTTGATTTCAGCTCAGTTCATGATCTCAGGGTTGTGAGATTGAACCACAGGTCCGGCTCTATGCTGGGTGTGGAGCCTGCTTAATATTCTCTCTCTCTCCCTTTCCCTCTACCCCTCCCCACCCCAAAGCAATCTTTTTCTGATTATATAATTTAAAAAAATTTAAAGTTGTCTTGTCTTCTTTGCTTAAGAAATGTAATAAACCACTTCCTCCCCTAGAAAATTAGAGTTATTAATTATAATACTTTTTACATTGCAATAGGCTCCGTAAATTTCTTCACTTCCATGCTGCATAAATGATCTGCTATTCCTCTGTTCAAACTGTCATGTTCCGACTAACGATTTTGCTGTTTGGAAAGGTTTCCTACTGAGCTGTCTGTTGGCACATTTACAGTGCGGAAGCACATGGGATTTTTCTTTAATGAGACCATTTCTAGTGAGTAATAGAAATCCCGTTGCTGCTGTTGTCCAGATGAGTGATGAAGTCAGTTCCTTCCTTTGGCTGCTCTGGATGGTGTAAGGACCTGCTTCTTGTTAGGGGCAGACTTCACGTCTGTTGTTTGAAGCATTGTTAAGCACCTTTCAAGTGTAAGGTGATATGTTTTCTTGAATCAGAAAGAATCCCACCTAACCAAAAGTAGTTCTAGCTGATTCTAGTAGCAATAGGAGAGTAGCAATGTGTTAAGGTTCAGGACAGCCTCGGTCAAAAGGAAATCAGAGCATTGGCTTAGAGGTGAGTTAGGGATACTGGTAAGAACAATACCGAGAGAGAGGTAATTTTGTGTTTGGGTTAAGAATATGGTATCCGAGTTGGATCTTGGTTTGAATTCTGGTTACACTCCTTAAAAGTATGTGATTTTCGGCTGAGCTTGGGTTAACCTGGTTGAGCCTCAGTTCCTCTATAAATTGATGATTGGGAAATAATGTATGTGACGTGCTTAACAGTATCTAGGTTTAAAGTATGTATTTGATAATTACTAGTTA